ACCTGAGCCAGTACACARACTGTCCTTGACTGATGATGGTTCCACTTATGATTCTTGGACTTTACAACAGTATAAAAGCAATATACATTCAATAGAACCCATGCTTCAGTGTTGAATTTTGATTTCTTTTCTCAAGCTAGTGAAATGTAGCACAATACTCTCTTATGATGCTGGGGAGCAGCAGCAAACCACAGCTCCCAGTCCCAGCCACCAGATCTCAAGGGTGAACAGTGGATGTTCTGCTCAACTATGATGTTCAGTAGGTTAGGACTATTAAAGTYATTTTCAACTTATAGTGGATTATGTTGGGAATGTGGTCCCATTGTAAGTCATGGACCATCTGTACTTTGCTTCTATATCCTTTACTAAGTATACACAAAAGTAAAAGGTAATAAAATTTGTCTTCAGTCTAAAGGAGCTCTTCCAGAATGAGCAAAACAAAAATCTGAAACGGTAAGAAAGCATTGAGCACAATTTAATTGGCAGCTCTTATTTTCTTAGAGATCATAAAATAATGGTGCATTTAATAAATGGCATCTTAGATTGGATGAAATACAGTATTTTGTATAGAAAACACTCTGTTGAGATTGTGAAAGACTTCACATGTGAGGAGACTACYGACCACAGGTGACACAGAATTCAAGCCTCCTTTGAACATGCACATCCTCAAAGGAGAAGTGAAGCAGCCCCTGCAGATAACAAAGCCACTGAGGAGTTGCCAGCTAACCTGCAGGCACCTGCCTCAACAGATCCTCTGATGCAGCTGCCCAGGCAAACATATACCAACAAAAAATGGCACAARGGTACCTGGTTAAGGCACCACCCACGGGTCCGCTCATCTGTTAACAGGCATAGTGCCTCAAACTTCACACTTCCCTTGTAAGAGAGAACGAATGTTGTTGTTGTTCTTACCCATTTCTGGGTTCATGGCCAAGAGCCATGAACAAATTAAGAGAAAAGTCTAAAATGTATTTAATAAATATTGCATGTGATACAAGATCCTTTGGAAATGAAGAGCCAAAGAAACAAAGAAGACTTATTTTTATGGACAGTCATGTATAAATTTGATTGGAGAATGGAAGGTTTATGATCTAATAGTCGTTACCTGGGGGGAGGGGATTAGCTCAGCAAGGCCTGCTCTTTTAGAATTTTCTTGGCATCCTTGTGTGACATTCCTTTCCCCTGGGTATGGAGCAGGGTATGGAATGAGTGTCTTACAATCAATTTCAGAAGACAGTCATCTAAATTTTATGGCCTGCTTTGGGGAAAGAGGTAGGAAGAATTCTTTCTAGTGTTCATGGTCACTGTGTGAGTCAGCTTCCTGCCAYTGTAACAGGTACCTGAGATAAATCAATCTAAAAGGAGGAAAGGTTCATTTTTGCTCACAGTCTCAGAGATCTCAGTCTAGCACCAGAGGCTAATGACCAAGCCTTCAATACACTGGTTTTTGACAGATGCTTTCAAACCATAGCAGCCTACTTCTGCTGTTTCCTGAAGTGCCAAATGTCATTTTGGGTGTAACATGTCCCAAAATCCATCACCCTCTTCATCATGGGAAGAAATGTGCTCAGAAATGTTCTTTGGGTCCTGTCTGGTTTGTCACTAATGCACATATATGTGGTGTATCTATTTATACACACATGCTGTCGTAGTCCATTTTGTGCTGATATAACAGAATACCACATACTGGGTAGTGTATAAAGAAGAAAAAATTTCYTTCTCACATTTCTGCAGTCTGGAAGTCCAAGATCAAGGTGCCAGCAATCTGGTATGGACCTATTTGCTATGTCCTCACCTGCAGAAGGCAGAAGGAAAGAGAGATCTACTCCCATGGGTCCTTTTTATAGCAGCATTAGCCAGGCACAAGTGCTGAGCCCCAGGACCTAAACACCTCCCAGCAGACGGCATTGGGGGATTGTTTACAGCACATGAATTTTAGACACATTCACACCATAGCACACACTCATTTTTACATACATATATACTTAATATGTAGATCTGTGTATACATGACATGACACATGTAAACTTATGCTYTTGTACATACACGTAGTATTTGTTATCCTCCTTCGTACAGTGAAATCAACTCTGGTGGGTTGTTGCATATTCTCTGTAGCATCATCTTAAATGATAACATGGAGTTCCTTGGAATGAATTTATGCTAGTTTATTTAGTCGCTCATTATTAAATGATTTTTCTCTAGTTATTTGCTGTTAAGAATAATGTCAGGAACATCCTTGCAACCATTCTGTGTGCAAATCTGTATTTCATTTATTATTTAACTGTATCTGCTGACTCAGGCTGCATGGTCTAGGAGTAAATGTTCAAAGGCCTTCTGTGTCTCTCCTGCTGTTTTTTTTTTTTTTTAAATAACTGTGAGGGATAGAAGGGTTATCATAGGGTGATAGGATGGGGTTTTGAGGAGGATGTTAAACTCAGGCTATAGAACCATTCAGTCCTAGCTGATGACCTTGGGTTAGGGTCTTAACCTTTCTGAGACTTAGTTTCCTCATTTGTAAGTCAGTTCTGTGATGTAGGCTTTGTAGTATTGAATGACTAAGGTGACATGTATCAAGTCCCTAGTATAAGGCAGATGGTAACCCCTAAATCAGTGTTGATTCCAGCTTGCAGGAATTTTTAATTTTGAACAGAGGCTCCATATTTTCATTTTGCACTGGACCCGACAAATTAAGTAGCTGTTCCTGCCCATGTGGTTGTTGGAGGGTGAGATGAAACACACAAGTCTCTGAGMATAGACTCAGGATGTGATAGGACTCAATAATCATGAAATGGCTATAATAGTTATTGTTTTTGAGCAAATACAATCCTGATCAGTACCTTAGAGACATTTCACTTAATTATAAAAATATACAATTAATCTCATTTTATAGGTAAGGAAATTATGAAATTAAACCACCCACTAAAATCACAGTTTATAAATGTAGTTTATAAATTCTGGGTGCAAATCTGTATTTCACTTATTATTTAACTGTATATGCTGACCCAGGCTGCCTTCTGTGTCTCTCCTGCTGTTTTTTTAAAATAAGTGTGAGGGATAGAAGGGCTCTCTTGAATGCAGACTCATATGTCTCATATGTAGCCCACACCACTGACCTGCACTTTTGCATATAAGTTCCTTTCCTTCCTTCCSAGGAGAACTTCTCTATAAAATCCAGAATTAAAGTTTTCTTGATAATCAGCAGCAGCAGCACAAGTCTCACCTCCCACAGAGTTTCAGACCCTCCAGAATTCCCACCAGATCTGGAACCTGCTTCAGACAGGAAAAACACAAGTCTCTCAGCCTCAGTTATCCTGTCCTGTCACCCCATTCTGTCCGGCCCACACCTGCCCAGAACTACTGCCTCAGAGTTCCACCAGTGGCCAAACATGACCAGCCTGGTAGACAATTCAGGTTGCTTCTCTTGGCTCCTGATAAACTTAATTTCCAGTGCCTAATGTCTAACTAGTACCTCCAAATCACTATGAGCACCAGTGGAAGATCTGCTGGCCTCTGGTCCTGGGAAGGAGACCATGAGAGCTGTCTGTTGTAGGTTGAACATCCCTAATATAAAAAATCCCAAAACCTGAAATTCCCTAAAAATCTGGAAAATTCTAAGCACTGACATAATGCCATAAATGGAAAATTCCACCTTGACCTCACATGACAGATTGTACTCCAAACATAGGCACACCAGAAAATACTATATAAAATTGGGCTGGGGATRTGGCTCAAGCGGTAGCGCGCTCGCCTGGCATGCGTGCGGCCCGGGTTCCATCCTCAGCACCACATACAAACAAAGATGTTGTATCCACCGAAAACTAAAAAAATATATATATATATTAAAATTCTCATATTCTCTCTCTCTCTCTCTCTCTCTCTCTCTCTCTCTCTCTCAAAAAAAAAAAATACTATATAAAATTACCACCAGGATATGTGTATAAGAGACATATGAAACATAAGTGAATTTTGTATTTAAACTTGGGACCCATTCCCAAGATGCCTCATTAGGTGTATTGAAATATTTTTTTAAAAAAAATTCTAAGTACTTCATGGACCAAAAAATTTCAAATAAGGATTATTCAACCTATTCCTATAAACTGAGGATATGACCATCTGTCTGGCGGTAGGGATCCCTTGTTTTCCCACAGTGCCAGGCCATGATGTGCTCTGCCCACTCTTTTCTCTGCCAGTGAAGAGAGAAGATCCATCCCACCACTCTGGTATTATGTAGGCGTCAGGCGTGATGCGGGAAGTTCTAGTGTAGGTACGCTTACAGTGTGTGGCCCCTGAGCAGGGATGTTAAAACAGGAGCATTCCAGCTCTTGGACAGCCAGWTTTGAATTCTGAATGTGACAATGAGACTGTTTGTTTTTTTCAAAGCAATTCCCTAAGTGGCTGTTTGCTCAAGACTTTGGTCCTGTGAACAGAGATTGGGTTGGGGGGGGAGGGCGGGGGGAGAAGCCATCTGCTCCGGAATAGTCTTCCAATGACAGGAGCAAATGACTGCAGTACAAACTGGAGGGGGTCCAGAAAAATGTTCCTGTCTGGTGAATCTGGCCCCACCCTGCAGCCTCAAGCCCTGTGTTTATTGGAGACTCACATGCAGCTTTCAAAGGCAAGGCCATGGTAACTGCAGGTATAAAGGAGATGAGAGCAGAGAGTCGGGGTAAGAGTGCTTGCCTTCTACCTCACCATGTGCCATTCAGGATAGTGAGCCATCTGTGAACTTTGGAGCTCAGTTTCTTTTCATTACACCTTTCATTCTATGTGTCTCTGATAGCAATATTTCATACTAAATGAAAAAGTGACATCCCTTTATTAAGTGCAAGATTTCTATTTGGTCATCTTCTATTAGTGTTTAAATGCTGAAATTTATTTATTTCCCTTAAAGTATGAGATGATTTTCTTGTTTATGAACTATGGCCTGTCTCAATTTATAAAACATCCTTAAATGTGTGTGGCTTTCTTTCTTTTCTTTCTTTTTTTTTTTTTAATATTAGGCATTCATGCAGCCTCACTTGCTGGGAAATGAGTTCACACATTTGGAGTTTCCAAGGAGAGTACAGAGAAAGGAACTTGGAAAGAAGATGCTCTACAGGGACTTTAATATGACAGGCTGGTAAGAACACACCTCCCTCCTCCCCAGTACCACTGCAGTGGGTGTGCATAGGAAGCGTCACCATTGTGAAAAGCCACTTATGCAGTTGGTGTCAGGATGTGCAGCCAGAGACCTGAGTTTGTGGTGAAGGACACGAGTCTGTGACTGCTTCTGTATTTCTCACTTAAGACCAGTTCTGAAATCACAGGCAATGGTTTCTCTCTCTTCTTGGAGGCCCTCCTTGGGGATACTGGACCCTCTCTCTGCATGTGACTTAATTCCTCACTTTGCATGGAACAATCATTTGGGGCCTTATAAAACACATTAAGCTTTATGCTCTTAGGCCAGGGTTATTAAATAGGTAGAGATGATTTAAGGAATCTGCCGAGGATTTATTGAGCCAAAGTGGCTTGAATTTGAATCCTGACTCTTGACTTTCTAAATGAGCAGAATCCTGATTCTGATTTTCTACTTAATGCCTAGAGCCTATTTTTCCATGGATAAAGTGAAGAAAAGATATGCTCTCTGAGGATCATTATAAAGATTCAAGATAATGTGCTTTATTCATTTCTCAATCTGTAATAAATGAGTTCCAGGATCCCCTACAGATACCAAAATTCCAGGATGTTCAACTACCTTATATAAAATGRTATAGTATTTGCATGTAGCCAATGTACATCTTCCTTCCTGTATACTTGAAGTCATCTGTCAATTACTTAATATATCTAATGCAGTGTAAATTCTATATGAATAGTTGCTACACTGTATCATAGGAAGTAAAGGTGAAGAAAAAAAAAACTGGACACATTCACTATAGATACTTTTAAAAAAAWTTTTTCCATCCACGTTGATTGACACCATAGAAATGACACCTGCAGATGTGAAGGCTCCACTATATTTGATCACATTCAGATTGATRTAAGAACTCTTGACATGGGGTGTCTTGTTCCCTAAACACACCTCAGTGTCATGTTGACTAAGACCTCCTGTCTCTTCAGAAGAGTAGTAGACAGGTAACAAGTTCTTACACATTACGGGGTTGGAATAAGGATTCAATGAAAGAGCAGAGCCTTACATGCAGAAATGTGGGGGATTTACTCTTACGCCCTGAGATCTAATGAGGGAGCCTCTTGTCAGTCTGGAGGATAATAGAAGAATGAAGTCGTTTACTCTCCTTACCACGTCTCCCACAAAAGCAGGGCCATAGCTTTCACTGTCCCTCTTCATTGTGAACAGATGGTCAGAGCCAAGATTCCCATGCTGATGACTTCCAGGCTGGGGACCTACTTCTAGGACACATATTGTCATAAAGGAACAAATTGAACTACCCATAAGAGGCTCATCTAAGGGACCTTTAGTTGTTCTTTACCCTCTAGAAAAAGCAGATCCTCACCCAGATCCACTTTTCTTTGTCTAGAATGAGGTCAGCAAACTATTGCTGGAAAGCCAAAGTCGGCTCACCACCTGTATCTGTTTTATATTCCCATGAAGCTGTATTTTTCCCCCTTTTGGAGTGGCTTATACATTTTTCCTGAAACACACATCTAAAGATTGCCCTCATTTTATAATTCTCTTCTCAATACAGCTCCACCCCTTTGTTTACATTTGAACTATAGCTGCCTTCACCCCAATGCAGGGCAGTCGAGTAGTTACAGCGGAGTCTGTGTAACCCACAGAGCCAAAAATATTTGCCCCTTCTCTAAAAGGTAAATGGATTTATCAAAAAAGGGCTCTGGATTTTACATCCTAGAGTTATTATTCTAACCCTGACTGGGCTTTCTTATAAATCCATTTGTATTCAATCAACAATATCAGCACTTCTTGCAGAGATGTTTAAGATGAGGGCTAGTGTCATTCGGAAATACTCATGACAGTTTGGTCTGGGTGTTGTACAATTTGGAAAGATGGAAAGATTATGAACCCGTGGTTGTAAACATGTTTAAAAGGAGGTGGGAGGATATATCTAAAAAGACAATAAGGAAAATGGTTAAATACAAGAGGAGAGATTGTGAGAAACACATTGAACTTGTACTAAGAGACCATAMAAAGCCAGATAGAGAAATGGGTGATTTGCTGTGGGAGAGACTATTAGGTTGATCTTGTGAATTTCTGAGGAGAAGAAATAAATGAAAGCAATATTTTTGTGAGGGTATCTTAAGAAACTGACTTTAGAAAGCAGATTTAGGAACTCATGGAAAAGTTACCATAGAAATATATAAATATATATATAGTCTCAAGCACTAAATAGAGAGATGGAAGCAGAAAACAAGAGAGAGGAAATCAACAAAAAAGAAAATTATTTAGAGGTCAGTCTTTGATGACTACAATTACGTATTTAAATATGTCTTTTCCATTAGCCTGTAGGTTCCTCATGAGGCAGGCGCCCAGTGCTTAGTCCTGTGCTGACCCAGGTCAGATAGAAAGCAGTTATCTATTGGCTGAAAGTAGAGAGGTTTATTTGGCAGTAGGCGAAGCCTACAGGTCAGTGTCRTGGACAGTCAAAGAGAAAGGCAGGAACAATGGGTTTGTATTGGAGACACGTTGAGCTTGAGGCAAGTGTGTCTGGATAKTCTTTCTGTGCCAGGAAGGCAAATGAGATCTAAGCAGTCAACACAAACTTGGTTAATGGCATGCCTAGGACTTGTTTGGACCAGTGTCTTTGTTGCAGCTGCTTAGTGTCAATTCATCTGGGGCGGGAGAACAATATATTGTTACTAGCTTTGGAAAGCACTTCTAATGAGATGAGAGGCATCATCACTTTAATGGGCAAGATGCTTTCAAAGGCTGTAAAGGGTCCACTCAAACCATGTGATAAGGTTAGTGTTTTATATTCCCATGAAGCTGTATTTTCCCCCTTTTGGAGTGGCTTATACATTTTTCCTGAAACACACATCTAAAGATTGCCCTCATTTTATAACTTTCTCAATGCAGGTAAATTCAGAACTAGATTATACCCAACGTTACATGCACATATTTTCTCTCCCCACCCCCATCTTTCTCTCTGTCTCTCTGTGTTAGCAGGGTCCTATGCAGATAAGCAGCCCATAAGTGGGCTGTTTTTAATTGCATGGAACTTCACAGAAGGTACTAAATAATTGAGAAGCCAAGACTGAGAATGGCTTCAGTCAGACATGATTTGATTTGTTTTCAGTATAATTCCCAACATGGCTGTTGGCTCACAAGGATAGTTACAAGCAGAGATTTATGTACCTTTGTGCATTTCTTACCTGTTCTTATTTTGATTTGAAAATGGGACTTATGGAGAAGGAAAGCCCTTTATATCYTTGTCGGAAGAACTCGGGATATTTAAAACCAATTTAGACCATGGTTCATGTAACCCCCTCCCCCAACTAATGAGTTCCTTTAAAAAATATTTTTACCCTCTAACAGCCTAAAATGGAACAGTTATTTTTTTTTAGGACTTAAAAAGACTGGGGTCACTTAGTATGTGTGAGTCTCTGATCCCCAGCACTGGGGAAAAAGACGGTGACTSTCTTTCTTAATTGTCTATAGAAGAGAAAGACTGGAAAATTAATTTATGGAAAGGGAGGTGAGGATCTATAGCCTGTTTCTTTTCCCATGAGAGTCATTAATCACTCCCAAGTTGTTGGAATTGGTTGAAGGTGGACTGGTGACATCTGGAGTGTGTGGTCCTCCAGGATGCAAACAAGTCCTTCCCTAGACCCTCCGTTACGTTTCTTGGCTTCAGAAGTCGCCTTGAGCTGTGAACTTACTTCTCTGAACCCTAACAAAGGGTCTACCTACTGTTAAGCTATTCAATCCTTATAGTAAATTTCTAGTTGTGGAGATTTTAATCCCCCCCCCCGCTTTCCCATTAATCATGATAGTAATGAGRTTGACTGATATTTACTGGGAGAGCCATGGGCCAGGCACTGTGATGAGAGCTTTACTTAATTATTCATATTTAACTCTTAAAGCAGATCTTAAAACAGGCCTATCAAATAAGTACATTTTACTGATGAGGGAACTGAAGCACAGAGGCTAAATTGTGCAAGGTTACACAACTAAGAAGGTTCCAGAKCCTGGCCTGTAAATCCAGGCAGTGTTATTTTGGAGTGTGCACTACTAGCCACTGTGCTGAACTGACAGCTGTGAAATGGCGGCCCCTTCTTCCCATTTTGCTGTTGAGCAAGTAGAGCCTGAGGGACTCTGTGGTTTGCTCAGTGTCTACCAATGCACAAGTGTCAGAGACAGGACTAGAGCCCAGTCCTGACTCTCATTCCAAGGCTCTTTCTGATGTRCAGTGCCAATCAACTTTTTTCAKGGTAGAACTAGATGCTTTTACACAGTTTTGACCTCTGATAGAAATTTAAGTTGGGGGCCTCTCTCTGCTAAAATTCCTGTCTCCTTGACAGTCCTTAAGGGAATAAGACAAAAATGGAATGAAGCATTTTAGGAGCTACCAGGCAGTGACTTTTCTAGCTCCCCATGTGACCCGATAGACCGYTGGTCAAATTAAACGATACTTCCCACTCATTACCAGGAGTCTGAGCATGATCTGGGGATGGTGGTGGTAGGGGAGGATCCCCTGAATAACCAGATCTCCTGTGCTTAGGGAAATTGCCTGCTCTCATTAGAGGAGCATCATGCCAGCATTCTGTGGAGTGCTTGCAGCAGGGAGGAAGTGTGGGAGAGGATGTCAGCTCTGGGAAGCCTTGTCTCATAATTAAGGATGAGTCTGTTGCCTCCTGACGGGATCCTCATGCTTTCTTGGAGACTGTGGAGCAGCTTGGCAGGCCCAGATTGTTTAGAGGACAAAAGGTTATTGTCACCAGGCCCATCATAATGAAATTGGTCTCTTCCCTGGCTCCCCCCAACCTCCCTTCCCTTCTTTCCTCAGAGAGTTAGCTCAGTGGCTTGATTTACAAAGCCTTTGTCTAACGCCCATCGCTGAGTTGGTCCCTGATGTGCCCTTCCCTTGATGTCCCTGTCACCCACATGGCTCTCACCTTCTGTGTCTAGTGTCAGTGGCCCTGGTGCCAGAATCCCCAGGCTGGTGC